AGTTTTGTCAACATCATTCTGCTTTTACAACACGGTACGCCGCACTAGTTTGGACCCACAAGTGGCATGATGATGTAACAACTAGTCATCCCAGATAATGCTGGCGTTTTTTTTTTTTTTTTTTGAGGGGGGGGGGCCTCGCGAACGTTTTGCCCAGGGGCCCACACAACCCATAATCCGTCCCTGTGTGAGTTGGTTTACCAGAGTTTTGACACAGCAGCACACTTTTGATATGCAAAAACCCAAAATTACTTTTTTTTTCTCTTTTTTTTTTTTTTTTTTAAAGGATTGCAGAAAATTTCTCAACAGACTGAATAGCCATTTTGGAGATGAGCGAAGGTATATCACAGCTTGTCCACCCAATACTTTTACGTTGCTGTAATATATTTACAATATGTTGGCATTTTATCTGCAACTTTAAAAAGACCTCTACCCTACCATTACACTGTGTTAGTATCCACACTCTTCCTTGTTTACAAGCAAAAAAGTGTGTCGTGTTGTTACAACCCTCCAGGCCAGGGCTATGCAACTCACGGATCAACCCCTGCTGATTTTCCTTTACCCATGAACCAGGTGTGAAGCCTCTGTGGCCAATCAGAATCAGTAATTATTAAACAAACTACCGGGGAGAACTGAAAACGCAGCCTGGATTTGGAATAGAGGTCCAGAGTTGAATAGCCCTGCTGCAAGCCAACTGGTCAGGCCCAGGGCACTATAGTAGTACTATCAATTTATCTCTGTCTTCCAAGAAAGAAGAGTCAATGCAGCCAGTAAACATGATCAGATGATGTTTATGGATGTCTGGAAATATAGGTCCTTTCGAAATCTGATTGTAAATTTCTGTTGCTTCTGTGGTTCTGTTCCATTCTGCTGGACAGGGTGTTTACATTTCCCTGCATCAAGGCTTTTTTAGACAAGACTGAGGTGAGCATTGATACAATCTGCTGTTCAGATTGTATTCATTCACACATCATAGTATAAGTTAAAGCTGACCATACTCATATCATTGTCGTATGATGCTCAAATGGATCTTTGTTTATTATAACTCCATATCTGTAGCTATTTAAACCAGATGATGAGAATCTTGAAAAGTTCTGGGTAGATTTCAACCTTGGGACATGCTGCATCAGCTTTTTTGTGAATGATCCAGAGGTAGGATCACATTGGCTTTTTTTGTTGATGGAAACAAGCGTAATGACATTTGCATCGACTGCTTTAGATGGTCCATGAGCTTTGTTATGACAAGTGACTCGCTTCTTGTGTTTCGTCATGCTGTCGTGTAGGGAGCTCTTTGGGAGTCAATAAACTTGCCAAAAGCTGCCATCAGTGATTATTCCATCAAAGGTAAGCAGTCAGTTTTGACCCCAAAGTCATACTAGTGTCATTCACAACATGCGTTTCATAAGGAAGAGAAGATGTAGTGTATGTGCTGCCATTAATTCAGCTTTGACCTTTGGCCAGGTGTGTGCGACCCTGTGCCTTTTTCTGTGTTGGCAGAAAAAGATGACCAGAAAATCCTGACTGTTCGAATGGAAATTCCTGTCGCTCACATCAATATAAAAGGAAGAACTGTGAAAATCATTTTTGAATCGCAGTATGACATCCAGAATGCAGTCAGGCGTGCGCTTGGAGACAATTTACAATTGGTAACACGTTCACATTGTAAAGTATGCCTTTGTAACGTACTTTTTAGCTAGATTATGATGTAGGGTAAATTGTAACTTCAGAGTATTCAGATTTATGTTGCAAACTAGTGAGTACTGTATTCAGATCAAATGAAATGGAGCCTTACATGGCCACATGACTGATGTATTACCTTCATGTTCCAGCAAAGTACTGAGGGACAGTCCGTGAGCAGAAATCTTCTCAATGATGAGTATTTTATACATAGTATTTGAGTATTTTATACATAGTATTTGAGTATTTTATTTACTGCTTTCTCTACTTCAGAACCCCAGTCCTCTTCTACTGTAGAAAAGTAGGCATTGTCTGTGTGTCAGTCCAGAATTTCCTTCAGATGAATAATATTTTTGAGTGAAGTACTGTAACACACTTCCTTTCCAGTTGCTCGGACCCGGGTTGTTTAGATGCTGCCGATGTAAGTGCTGAACTGAAACCGCCTCTGTTTTGGAGCAGTCACTGTTTTGTAAGGGAGGTGACCCTCTGTCCTTTTACAGGTGAGTGCTGTCAATGATGATGATCAGAAGTCACCCGCATCAGCATTGTGAGTCATCTTCTTATACTGTAATGTGCTCTTCTGCACTGACCCATGTGGAGTATTTAAACACCTCCTCGTGTGCTTGGTGTCCTCAGGGAGAAAGCTGAGCTCCTTCATCTGACTGATGAGTCAGAAACAGAGGTTTGCTTCTTGCTTTAACGAGTATTGTGGGATGTTGGTGGAGGGTAGGGAGTGGTAACACAGCTTGACATGCTCTTTACAAGCCATGCTGGATGTATCTGTGGGTGCCGGATATTTGTTTGTGTAAAGTGGATTTGTTAGGTTTCATAGCGGTGCTTCAGTGGGGTAGTAATCTGTGTGTGTTTAAAAGGTCTGCTGGAATCCTGAGGTCAGCAGAACTGTTGTAGCACTGTTGGGGTCGTGACCCCAAAATCCGCTCTGAGGGCACCTGACAAATGGCTGACCCTGTGCTCTAAGCCCAGGCTTTGCTCTCAGCTGTGTCCGTGTCTCAGTACCCAAAAGAAAAGTTTGTAATGTTATACAGACGCTCCTCTACTTACGAACGAGTTACCTTCCGAACGGCCGTTCGTAACTTGAAATGTTCATAAGTCGTTATTCAACATCATTTTAAGGGTATACGCAAATACAAAGAACTGGGATGCTGGGAGTACGCACGCTAAGCTGCTGCGCTGTGGGAGTAGCGGACAGAAGTCGTACTAGGCGTGATTGGCACACAGGAAAAAAAATTTGATGCTGCGAACAGGAAATGGGAACCCAAAGAACACAATTTTGACTTACAGTCCTCTTCGTTCGTATATCTGAAAGTTCGTAAGTAGAGGAGCGTCTGTACTGGCATAAAGGCCAGGGCTGGTCCTGCTTCTGTTCAGTGTGCATTGCAGTGTGTATTTGGACTGGCACACGTTAATGGTGCAGTATCTCAGACTAAGAGTGCCATGTCAAAGGGATTTCCACATGGCAGCAAGACGGACAGCATGTCCTTCCTGGCAGCTTTCAGGAGCTACCAGGTCAGTGTGGGGGCCAGAATTACTCATCAGAATCACTCAGTCACTCGTTGGATTAGCAGGAACATCACCTAACTTTTGTCGTCGTTTTCTGTGAGCTATTTTAAACTGCGCCCCCTATCTTCCCCTCAGGTGGCGATGGCCAAAAAGAGACTCTTCAGTTCGTCTGCTTCCTCGAAAGGGTACGATCACATTTTTGAGGGCTTTTTCCCATAAAGATACTGCTGAATGAGCAACTGCAGGATGGATGACAAACAGAAGCTGCCACCTTCTTAATACATATTGCAGGAACACTGACTAATCTCAGTGTTTGAATGGCATTCTGTTTTACTCGCTTGCCGTGTATCTAGCCTGGCCTTATCTTCCCCTTTGTTTAAAGCAGCTTGCATGTGGAATAATGCTGTCCCAGACTGCACATGCTGCTCATGTGTTTGTGTTGATGCTTTTACTTTCTGATTTTAATGCACAGGTTAGTATCACTTTGCACAAAAAAGTAAATGAAACGCTGGAGGATTCTGCCCAAATGTGGCAAGACGATACAATTTGATGATACTCAATTCAAAGGTTCTGCTCTCATCTTATGCAGATTTGCAAAGTCCCTCCAAGACACGGGAGACAAGCCAAAAGAATCCCGCAAGGTTAACCGACTGTTCAGAGTGGGGTTGGGCGATTGTCATACAAATAGTCACCACTAGGTGGCCAACTTGTGAACGAGAAATCGAACAGCTCTCTGGTCACACCTTCTGTCACTGCAGGGTCATCAACCCAAAGCTGCTGCCTTCTCTGAGAGCAACAGCAGTCCAACTCAGGGAGGAGTAAGCGACAGTTTGCGTGTGAAAGCGCTGCCGAGGTCAGACTACACTAGGAAGAAACCCAAAGCTAAGTCCGCTCTGAGAAGTATGCTGGCCGCCAACGTTGCTTCACATAGGATTCCCTGCAAAACGTCATGTGATTGTCTCTCTTCATTCCCTTCAAGTTCTGCCCCAGTCCTCACCTAGTAGTGCTGAGGAACCCGGCACCATCAAGGTAAAGTGTTTTTCCACTGAGGGAGCTGTTTTCTGATCAACAGATGAGTTTAGATTTTTGTGAGAGTGCTAATTTCACATCCTCACTTCTGTGGCCCTGATGTGTGGCATGTTACAGGACGGAAGACTCCTAAAATTCTTCCAACTTCAGAGATCTTAAGGCTTTTTTTTTCCAGATTATTTAGTTAAAAGTGTCTGCCTCCTGTGTATCAAATACATTTACATGATTTAAGTTATGACAAATGTTTTTCCTCAGAATTCTGAAATTGGCCTCAATCAAAATATGTTGCAATCATTTTCTCTGCAGCACTCAACACCAAAGACTGCAAGCGTTAAGCTAAGCGGAGCTGCCGGCCTCATGGTCCGGCCTAGAGAGCTCAGCTTGGAGTATTCTCTCATTTCAGCACAAAAGTTTGAAGCCCATGTGGAAGGTCAATTCTTTTCCTAGATGATAAATTATTTTTTTGTAAAAACATCTGTTTCAGTAAGAATAACAATGCACACGTTTCATTATTTAACTACTGGCTGAGTCTGCATAGGAGATTGTTCTGAGCAGTGGACTTCCCTTGTGTCCTATTCCTCCCAGGACTTGAGAAGACTATCCTGGAAGACTCAGTATTCATGCCAGATGATCAGGATGGATCCCCTATTAAGGTAGCTCTGGAGAAACTATATATGACCTTTTATAGTATGGTCCTATTTTGTGTTTTGCATGTAATTATTCACCAGTCATACTGAACTGGAATTTCATGGAAATACCATGCAAATTCCTTTGGACATGGGTGACCTAATGTAAAATGGAGTGCTGTAAATGTCTGTCCACCATTAGTTCTCTTTATATGCTTGATTAGTTTTCTTTACTAATTTTAATATGCACCAGAAAAACTCCCTTAGTGAAGTTCAAAAGTCTCCGGGAGCAAGAAAAAGGAAGCTTGAATCTCCAGGTGTGTGCCACTTCCTGTTTGGCGGTCGTCCTTTACAATTCTGATGGTTTCAATTCCATTTGTATATAAAAAAAAAAAAAAAAATGTGCAGACAGCTAGGTTAGTGTAGCCCCGTGGGACTCTTGAAACTCTGTAATGTTGTTTTTCTTCCTTGCATAGTGCTGGATTCAGGTATAGGACCAGATAAGGGGCTGTCAACAATGGAGGAGGACCAGGGCACCGCAAGCCTCAAACCCAGAGGATTCCACCCCCCTAGCACCCCGGGGGCTACTGGGGGCATGTTTCCATATATCCATACTAATTCCATGGTTTCAGACATTCTTAATGAATACAGAGTAACAATGTTTAATTAGTACGTATTGGTGAACAAATGTTGTGTGAAATATTAATGCAAAATTTACTGGCAGTAGTGGACACGCCGTTCTCCAGTGTAATGCGGCGTGTGCTCGCAGTAGTGGACACACCATTCCCC